TTGAACAAAGATGATTCTGAAAGTGCAAATGAAGAATCAGGAAGAAAAATTCCAGCAGCATTAGGTTTTTTTACAGTGCAGCAGGATAATGGGTAGCTTTTTCTTCTCTCTTTGATCTTAATGTACTTTTGCTATTTTTACTATGGAAAAGGTTTCATCGGGGTTTTTTGTTTTTGTTTTTGATGCTGAACATTAAATTCAGGGCCTCAAGCAGGGGAATGGGGAAAAAAATAAGAACCAAGATATATACATGTACAAGTATAAATTCCCAATGATGAATGTCATCATATTGTATACCTAAAATGTACCAATAAACTTAATGGAAAAAAAAGTACCCAAAGCCTCATGTATGCTGTAAACCTGTGTTTTACCCCAGTCCTACTTATTTTATTTTAAATTTTTATTTGCTTATGCAGTACTAGGCATTGAACCTATAACCTTCACACTGAGTTACATCTCCAGCACTTTGGTTTCTTTATTTGTTTGTTTTTTGAGACAGAGTCTCGCTAAATTGCTAAATTGGACAGGGTGGGTACAAACTCAATTCTCCTGCCTCAGCCTCCCAGAGTGCTGGAATTATAGGTGTGCACTACTATACCTGGCTTGTTTTGTTTTTTAACATTATCTATCATTAGGCTTTCATGGAAATATATAAGGAGAAATATGTTTTGATTCTTTCATGGAATAAAACAGCATAAATACTTTGATATGCGGTGGTACCTCAGTTCACAAATGCTTTTGTCTGAAAATAATTAGGTTCACAAACAGAGCGTTTGGCAAAATTTCATTTTTGTTTGCAAACTGCATCTGGTGACAAGCAAATCAAGCCATCCTTCCCACACAAATACAAATGTAGCCATCTATTCCAAAATCATAAAACAAATTAAGTTCATGAATGGAGGTACCACTGCCTAAGTCAAAATAAAATAAAACAATAAGTACAATAAGCACAGATATAGCTGAGGACTAAAGTTCCCAGGGTGGCCAACCTACGCTTCAGGTGATTCATCACATGAGGTTCTTTGGTGGGGAGAAGGATGCTACGGTTTTATTGTCCTTGGCAAAACTCATACTGAATTTTTTTTTCTTTTCTTTTTCTTTTGGCGGTACCAGGGATCAAACTCAAAACCTTATGCTTGTGAGTCAGGCAGCAGCACCACTGAGCTAAATCCAGGCTGCCCCCCACCCCACTTTTTTGTACCGGGGATTGAACTCAGGACCTTGCACTTATGAGGCAGGCACGGTGCCACTGAGCTAAATCCCCGGCCCGCATACTGAAGTTTAATCAGCACCAGTAACAGTATTAAGAGATGGAACCTTGGGCCAGGGATTTAGCTCAGTGGTTCAGCTGCCTGCCTCTCAAACACAAGGACTCGAGTTGATCCCCAGTACCAAAAAACAAACAAATAAACAAAAAGAGGTGGAACCTTTAAGAACAGATTTGTGCCACTATCTCCGGAGTGGGTTAACTATGGAGAGAGTAGGTTCCCAGTAAAAAGGGTGAGCATGCTGGGCATGGTGGCGCACGCCTATAATCCCAGCACTTGGGAGGCTGAGGCAGGAGGATTACTGTGAGTTTGAGACCAGTGTTCGAGACCAGCCTGGGCTACATAGTGAGATCCAGGTCAGTCTCAACTACATAGTGAGACCCTGTCTCAAAAAAACCAAAAAAAAAGGTGAGCGCTTCCTGATTCTGCATCTCCCAATGATCGCTTGCCCTACCACCATGTTCTACCACAGCACGAAGGCCCTCACCTGATATGCGAATTTGGACGCTCCAGCCTCCACAACCATGGGCAGCCAATAGACTTCTATTGTTTATAAATTACCTGCTCTGTGGTAATTAGACTGTGCTTGTTAGAGCAGCAGAACACAGACTAAGAAGGACTAGAGAAAGGCTACATGGTTTGTGACTGAGTTCTATAGAATGGCAGGATCTGGAAAAATAAAGCAAAGTCAAGTCTGGCAGGAGGAAGGCACAAGTCAGTCACAGAAGCAGGGATGATGGGGGATCTGAGGCCTGGCAGTCACAAAGCACCCACTCTGTAGTAGATGGCAGAGACAGTCTGGGAACATGAAGTTAGACCAAGGAACTGGGGGGTCTTCAAGGCAGCCCTCAGGCCACTCCTATCTCCCTTTCCATAAGGGTTCAGTCCAGCCTCATTGTGCTCATTTCCCCCAAATTCCCAAGGAGAGCAATCAGGAGGGAGACAATCCCAGGGTGCTGCAGGATGGGCCAAGTAAGGATCAAGCAGGGCCTTTCAGGGCATCTGCTTCATTTTCTGGTTGGTAAACCTGAGGCCTAAAAGAAGCCCATGACTTGCCTAGTGTCACACAGAGAGTTGGTGGCAGAGTTAGACTCAGGCATGGTCTCAGAACAGCAAAGGAGAGTTATTCACATCCCTTTATCACTCGTGTGCAATACATGGGCAAAGCTCTGTATCTGAAGTGCAGATATTACAGAGCAGGCAAAGGTTCGGGTCCCTCTCATTCCTTCAAAGTAACTTCTTTCAGTTCCTTACTCATCATTCCAGAACATGCCTGTGCACTTATATGTCATACATATGCATATATTCATAACATGTACAGTATTTGTTCTGTGACTGATCCAACATAAATACCATCTTCCCACCCCACCTCCCAGTAATGTGGACTGAACCCAGGGCCTCACACTTGCTAGGCAAGCACTCAAACTAAGCAACACCCCCAGACCCTGTTTATTTTTAGAGACAGGGTCTCCCTAAATTGCCCAAGCTGGCCTCAAGCCACCACCCTCCTGCCTTACCCTCCTGAGTAGCTGGGATTACAGGTACATGCCGTAGCACCGAGTTTAAAATCTACCTCTACCTGTTACCTACTACCTATTTGAGTGGCAAAGATTACCAGGGATAAAGGGAACAGCAGTTCCCCTCTCCTCTCTGAGTACACAGGCAGGCCTCTCCACCTCCTTTGTACTTAGGTGGGGCCAAATAACTTGGTCTGGCCCTAGGGCTGTAAGCGGAAGTGATAAAGGTCACCTGCTGTGAGGGGCAATTAAAAGGCAGGTGGGTTTCCGCCCTCTTGCTGCTCCCTATATGTATACAACCCCCCCAACCCCCCAACCCCATCCTCAATCCCAGGCCCCTTGTTGACGTGGGGGGGATTACCAGTATGAAACAGAAGACACTGTCTCCGCTAGAGTCCCCATCTATGGAGTAGAGGACCCAAACCTACGCTAGACACACAGACTGATCAAGTAAAGCTGTGTGTTACATCACACAGATTTCAGGGGTAAGTGGTTTCTGCAGCTTAACATCGCTTACCCTGACTGGCACTGCACAGGTGTATCGCTTCCAACAAATCCCTCCACTGACTGGCACCCCTATGAAGTCCGTTTCTGCACATGCCTCCTCACACATTCTCAAGGGCACTTCTCTGCAGGTTTCCCATACGCCTCTCTACTGGCATTTCTGCTCTGCTCCTCTGCCTTTCCAGCCTGGCTGGCCCTAAAGGGCTACATTTCCTAGCAGCTGCCCTTGCCCTCTGCTTCCGGCTGGGTCCCACCAGTGGGAGACGCTGGCAGGAGGCTAGAAGGCTGGACGAGGGAGACACAGGGCCTGCTTCTACTTCTGCCTGCATCAGTATACAGCCTGGCAGCGGAGGCGGCTTCCTCAAACACACTCCAAGCAGACTCTCACCCATAGCTGGCCAAGCTCCCACTCGGCTCTGCTAAATCCTTTCCCGCCCCTTGCCCTCTAGTCCCAAGGTGGCAGTTGTGCCCCACTGTGTTGTTCTGCTCCCCGACATCCCTGTTAGGGTGTAGCAATGCCAACCACAACTCTGTAAGTCATGAAAACTACTTTTGGGCCCATCTGGAGTGAATTCTGTATCCTGATATCATTGAAAAGAAGATGAAACTTTCACAGTCATGGAAATGTGTTGTCTACATTAATGCCTGCTTCCAAACTGCCCTTCCAGGCCAATAGGTGGCCCTGCGATGAGAGGGGGGACATGAGCTTCCCCCGCGGGGCCAAAGGTGCAATCCTGGCTCACAGGGCATGTCCTGGCCGGTCAACAGTCCTCACATTGAGGCTCTCAGGGCCACCTCTAGCTGCACGTATGCTCACAGAAAGGGCCCAGGTCACTGCCAGCCACTGCCAACTCAGACCAGCCTGGGTCACCTTCCCCTGTCCTGCTCAGGGGCAGGACAAAAACCTGACAAGCATGTTTTCACCAACCTGAGAGTTTCAGTCCCTCTCTGGAGACTGTTTGTGTTTCGGGTCAAACAACCACAGGGCGGCCCCACCCACCACTTTCTTCTGCCAAGTTAACATTCCCCAGGCTGGTAGGCCTCCAAGAAGCAGGCAGTTCCTGCCCCGGGCTGCCCAGTGGGGATCTCCTTTTCCTATCCCAGGCACTCCACACACAGCCTGTTACATTTCAACCATTCAACATAATGCAGCAAATGGGAACGCTGCCTTCGTGACAGGGAGCAGAGACTCAGCAAGCGCTCAAGGCCCCAGCTTCCCAAGGTCACACAACAAAGTAGGGCCCAGGGTAACACGAAAGCTGACTACCATCGCCTAATACATGCCCAATACACCAACTCAGCCACTGGACAGGGACGGGGCCTTCTCGAATTCACCAAGTACTGACATTGAAGAGCACTCGCTTCGAGCCCACTGCTGGCTTCTACAAAGTGTTCATCCATTTGTGTATTATCTATAGTTGCCTTCTGCTACAGGGGCAGAATTTACTTACAACAGAGACCATGTGGTCCCAAGCCTGAAAATTTTACTATCTTTATAGAAAAGGTTTACAGAGGAGTCACATTATGACTTTCTAGACACTTTTATATTCATAAGCCCCTTTCTCATTTAAAAAATTGATATGCATTTATAATTTTAAAATTGTGCACATATAATTTATATAGAAATACATTTTTAATTTTTATAACTGTTGTTGATCTAAAAAGAAACATAGCCAATTCTGGATTGTATTCTTATTTATTTACTGATTTTAAAAAATTGTTGGAACACTCGATGGGCCCTGGAAATGCTGTGAGCTGTTGGCACTGCGCCTGGTGCAGAAGTCGGTCCTGAGTTTGCTATAAGTGGGTTCTTCCATTGCTAAGGGTAGACCTGGAAAGAGACACCCTCTTGATTAGCTCCTCCCCTTGGTCCTTTCACCCCAGCAGGGAGACAGGATGAAGTTCTAACAGCTTTGAAAGGAAACAGAAAGGGCTCAGACAAAATGACCGGACATATTTCTTGGCAAGAAAATTACTATTCATTTTACAACTCCCCAATTTTTCAACTTTTTATTATTATT